GGGCTCCTCGGCCGGGCCCTCGTACGGGCTGGGGGCGGGGGGCGCCCCGTACGGCGGGCTCTTCTCCCCCCAGTGCAGGTTGCGGCTGCCGGGGATGTCCGGCGGAGTCGTCACCCAGTGGCCCAGGTCCGACCCGGAGCCGAAGGACCTCGCCGGGAAGGCGACGCCGAAGCCCTGCTCGTCCCGGGCGCCACCCCGGTAGCCCAAGCCATCGAAGCCGTCTGGGCGCCGCGGATGCATCGCAGCCGGGGCGGGAGGAGCGGAGCCCACCGGAGGCTACCGCCACTGGGGCCGCGGCGACCTCGGGCCACTCGGTTTCTCCCCAGCTGGGGCAGCCGCGTCTGGGGAATTCTGACAACCGGAAGTCACGATGGAAACCCGGAAGTTCCGGGATCGCGGGCGCAGAGTCGCTTCCGGCCGCCTTTAGTCGTTCGTTGCTAAGGAGACAAGGAAGTGACCTAAAGCCAACCTTTAAAACTGTGGTTAAGGAGAAGGTGAGAAGGAGAATGTGGAATTTATTAACTGATACAAGCTGGATGGCAAGAATGGAACAAAGATGTTTCTCTCAGAGTGAAGGCAAAGACCGGGTCAGGCTGGCCAGCTAACAGCTTGCCTTTCCTCACCTGGCTGATGCTTCTTGGGTCCCAAGTGAGCTAGAAGAGGTCAGAGCTGCGGCGTGTTAGTAATGTTCCACTTAACTTTGTCTCCCGCTTTTAGGATTTTTGGATAAAAGTCTACTGAGGAATTTGGGGCTGTCCAGTAAACGCAGCGGTACAACGGCCTACCAGAGGAGGCATTAGAAACGTTCAAGTGACAGTCAAGGGAGAAGCAAACCCACACACCATCATTCAGACTGCTCTCTGGGATTTTGGAATAATCACTTTTCCAAGGATTCAGGCTAAACTATAAACAGTTTTCTGTCGCATTTTGTCCTGAGACATCGACATTCTCAGGGAATTTAAATCTCAGTCGTTTCATTCAAAATCAAAACACCCTGAAGAGCAAGGCAAGGGACGTCTGTTGAGTCCCCCACTACCTGTTTCCGTGAGCTCCATGGGCTCCTGGGACAGTGTCTCTCTCTACATTGGACCAGGTCTTACATGGGCTCTTCCTGTACCTCTTCTTCCCGGCTGGACGCTCAGAATTCCAAGAGCTTTCAGAAAAGAACTCTGACGTGCTATTCTTCATCTTCCAGAGGTGACACTTGATTGGAAGTGACAGCTGCGTTTTGAATGAACTGACATTCTTAAACTGGGTTTTGCTGTGGCTTGGGCAATAGGTGTTGAGTGCCTTTTTTTTCCCTTTGGTACCTTTGTGTGTGTGTGTGTGTGTGTGTGTGTTGAGTTTCTTTCTTTCTTTTTTCTTTTTCCAGATCGGGTATTGAACTCAGATCCTTGCGCTTGCCAGAGAAGCGCTTATTCTACTGAGCCATCTCCCCTGCCCCACGGTGTTGAGTTTCTAAATGAGTGTATCCAATGCTACTCCAGCACTCAATCTACATTACTGGATTACTAATATCATATGAGTCACTGTATTTAGGAACATAAACTAATTCTCTATTCTCTGGGAAAAATTAGCACAAAGATGGGATTATCTCAGGTCTTTTTAATGTAAAGAGGAAGAATAAGTGTACATATGTGTACACTTAATATAAAAAAGGCCTCACAATTTCACATCTCCTTAAGTAAAGGAGGAATTAAAATGAGAACACCCAGGTAAGTAAGTTGAGGCAAAAAATAAAGCAGTAAGAGTTCTTACTTTTGAATTACTCCTGTAATATGTTTTTTTCTTTATTTATAAAAAAATTAAGCATTGAAAGAAAATAGGTGCATGTTTTCATGCAGGGGATTGGAAAAAACATTCTAAGACAGCAAAGTTAAAGCATGTAAGGACTTGGGAAGATTATAATTTGACTATAAAATTTAAATTTCTGTTTGGTAAATTTAAAAGTGTAATGAAATTTAAAAGGCAAATCACAGCCTAGAAAAAAAAAATTGACACTTCTTACCAAAGAATAAAGGTAAATCAGTGGAAATGTGTGCGACAAGAATTGTGAGACATTTTAAAGACAAATACATGAAATACATAATAATATGAAATATATGCTCTCTAGTAATTATAAAGAGATAAAATTTAATAACCATCTTTTATTTATGAAATCTGCAATCTGTGAAGAGGAGGAAGCACATTGCTCTGCCATGTAGGAGGAAGTAAGCTCTTATTTAAGGAATGATATAAAAACATAATGCAACTTTTTGATAATGGTTTGATGATTCATGCAAAAACTGTAAAATAATCCTAGCTTTTGAATCCTACATACTAGTAAACAAATGTAAAGTTTATTTCTTAAATATTTTTTAAAATGTATTTAGTACAGGGTCTACAGGGTCTCACTACACGGATTAGACTCATAGTGATCCTCCTGTTTTTAGCCTCTCAAGTGCTGGGATTACAGGCATGCACCACCACATCCAGTCTCAATCACCTTCTCAGCGTGCTCTGGGGGTGGGGCTGGCCCAGACTGAACCCCTACCTAAGCAGGCGCTTTAGTCTGCTGAGCTATCTGGCCGGCCCCTAAATATGTTTATGGCATGCATAGTACATACACATGCTTATGGAGTAACTGTCCTGGCAATTGAAAAAAAAATTGTCAGGAATCTAAATATCAAGTAATGAATTATTATTAAATAATATAGATATATCCAGAAACTCCTTAAGTTGAAAGGAGCTCTTGAGCACATATCAGGTACTGTTTTAAACCATCAGATGGAGTAATATTAGCTTTCCTGTGCCTGTGACTATGGCCCACATATCAGATGTAGGCAATTTAAAGGAGAGGTTGATTTTGGCTCATAGTTCCAGAGATTTTAATCCATGTTTGCCTGGTTGTTACGCTTTGGGTCTAGTCCCGCCAAAGCCTCATGCATTCATTCATGGGGTGTGGTTCTAGAGTTAGGATTAATCTGTGATCCCAAAATGGGATTATGAGTTTGAGTACTTCTGGGATTATGGGTGTGAGTACTACACCCAGACTGCTTGGCAGATAGCCTGAAGGCACGATAAGGAGTGAGACCAACTTGCTCCCTGTTGCCATTGTTGCTGCTACTCCTCCCTTTTGCTCTTACTGTTTTGCTGCCTTCTGCAACCATGAACTGCTGCCCTCTGCCATGTACCATGTTGCCTTGGAGCCAGCTGAGTATGGACTGAAACCTCCAGTAACTAAATGTGAGCTAAATAAACCTTTCCTTCCTTCATTTTGAGTGTCGGGTGTTTGTCCCAATAATGAGAGAAGAGTAACGGAGACACTGGTTCTAAAGCAGAAATGTCATGGCAGGATAGTCTGGTACAGCAAAGCTGCACACTTTATGGTGCTCAGGAAGCAAAGGACAGGGAAAGAAAGTTCCCAGGGGCCTGGGAACCAATACAGTTCTAAGGCTCAAGCCACATGATCCACCCAGACACAGACACAAGTGTGCTTTACTGATCTCCTAAGTGTCTTTAAGCCAATGGAGGTGACAATCAAGATCATCAATCCTAGATGCTAAGTAACCTAGACAAAGTCCTCATTGTTAGAAGTAACGTTATACATTAGAAAGACAAAGAGCAAATAAAAATATATGATGTCACTTTGGGCTCCAGAATGAGCCACTTGGCGCAGACTTGTACTCGACTGGCAGCCAGGAGACAATCTCAGGTAAGCCCACCCAGCTTCACCTCAAAACCTGACTCAAAATCCAGGAGTGAGAAAGGCAAATATTTATATTTCACACTACTAACAATATTCTGAAAATAGTGGACCAACATGATACTCATGCATATTTTTAATTGGTGGACTTTTAAAATGTCCATTAGGATTATTTGCCATCATAAACATACCAAATAATTTCAAAAAAAGTCTGTAAATAAGATGATGAATGTTGTAAGGAAAATCCACTGGTATAATAAATAACCTAGGTAAATGAATACAGATATTTTAAAATCTTGCTCTTTTTGCTTTTGCCTCTAATGTACTTTCATAAGGGATATGGGATAGTTTCATATTATAGTTTTGTTTTTGGTGTGAAGGATAAAACGCAGGGATGCACAAAATACTAACCCAGCTCTCCACCCCTGAGCTATATCTGACTTCATCTGAACTGCAATTGCTTTCCCTTTCTCTCCCTGACTGATACAACTCTCAGATCCTGTTCCATTTATTCTTTTAAGAACACTTAAAGTACTAGACAAAATGTAAAATGTTTGGTAGCATAAAGAGTATTGCAGAATATAAATAAGTTACCTATTAGATTATATACTCCTTGATCAATCTAAACCAATACCACAAAACTTCAAAAACAACAAAAAAGTCACCTATACATTAAGAAATAAATATTAAGTGCACCCACTCAAACTAATTAGTACTTCTTTGGCTATATCTTTTTTCCAAAGTTCACTTTTGATATCACTTTTCACCTGGAAAATCAATTCTAATCTGCTGCGATATTACAGTCCAGTTTGAAAGATGGCAGTGAAGATATTGCTAAGCTTGACTGCAAGTAGAACAAAGTACAGTGAAATGTGTGATCTAAGAAAGTCGGAGAAGCAAGGTTTATAATTTGAGAACTATGACTAACATATAGCATATTAATATTTATTTTGTTTTGTTTCTTTCTTTGTTTTGAGACTGGATCTTGCTTCGTAGTGCAGGCTGAACTTGAACTCACTATGTAGCCTAGGCTGGCCTTGAGCTCACAGCACTCCTTTTGCCTTAGTCTCCCCCGTGCTGAGTTTGCAGGCAGGTGCCACCATGCCTGGAAAAATATAACAGGTATTTTACATTATTTAGTTTTGTAGCAACTTTGTCTCTTGAGTGCTCATAAAAAATTTCAGATAAATGCTAAGGAAGGTGATTCAGCATGCTAAGCAAACAATGAGAGGCAGCATTTATTATTATTCCGAAGGTCAAGGTGTTAGAAGGCTTCCAGGACAAGGTGGCTACCAAGACAAATGCATTAGTTAGAGTTCCTCCCATAGAAAAATAACAGAAATTAACTATTTTAAGTGACAGATTTATTGAAAGGATAACCAGAGTTTAGACAGTTGCTAGAAGACTGGAAAATGGGTCAGAACCAGTGATACTCTAGAGGGTCACGAAGGAGCAGGTGCCACATGGTCGTTGGCAGGAAAATGTGACATGGATGGTGCTGTCATTGCCTGAGATATACTTATTGCTGCTCCCACTGTGGTGTCATTTGCTCAGAATTAAAAATTCTGGGCTAACACCTACATGGCTAAACCTAGGTTCTAATCTAGCACAGTGGGGTGAGTGTGCGGAGAG